AAACATATTCCCAGTTCATGGGCAAAAGCCACCATCTCAGCGCAGGGACAGAGAGTCTGCCTTGATGATAAGCCTCCCGGGAGATGCTGACAAGTAGGGCCCGATGGTTGGGACTCCACACGCAGACCTTCCTTAGGTATGAGGCAGAAAGTGACGGCGGGCAGGCACACACCGTGCGCTGGGCTGGGCCTTCCCCGGCGTGTTCTAGAAAGAGCCGAGTTGAATCTGAAATGTGATCAGAGCTTTCTTCATCAGCCGCAATGTAATTATTTTTCTTAAATGTATACTGTGAGGTATTCTATGTCTGGGCGTCTTCCTAGACGTTGAGTGAATGATTTCTTAGAGTTGGATCAATATAACAAAATAAAGAAAATTGCTGTTCAGCCAATCCTGCACGTGAGAGAGCATGTTAGTTCCTTTTCTTCCCAAACTTAAATTCAATTTAAAGGATTAAAAAATATGTATTTTAAATGCAAACCACTTCGTGTACGTTTTCTGTGGCCATTCTGGTAATAAACGTCTGAACCACATTGATAGGGGGTTTCCTTTCCTTCTGTCCTTTCCTCGAAAGCCAACAGTTTGCTGTCTAGTTTTTCATATTCTTCCCTCTGCTTATTCAAGCATGTCTGTGTCTACACAGACTTACAGACCACTAACGTGGTATCACACCATACAGATGAGTTCGTATCTTTTCTTTTCCATGTCGCTGCATACTGCTTGCAACCCTCCTATGAGGGAGGGCTTGTCCTCTCCCCATGACGCCACCCCAGTAGCCCACCCACTTGCAGGAATCAGGGGTGTGCACTCAAGCTCTGCTTCTCTGGCCAAGGTGGGGGTGGGCAAGCATTTGATATCAGATGGAGCAGTCAGTCTCTTCCCTGGGATTCTGGGGCCTCCTCTGGGTGGATGGATCTGCGTGTGTAAAGTCGGGAGTGTTTGCTGTCATTGTCATTGTCCGTCATCCAGGCTTCAGAGGAAACTAGCTTGCAGAATAACACAGATGTGCTGAGGAGAGAGGGAGAGAAAGACAGGGATAGAGAGATGGAAGGAAGGGGATCGAGTGAGACGGAGGGGGATGGGGAGAGAGCGAGGGCGGCGGGGGCAGGCAGTGTTTTGGGTTGTCTATAAGTCTTCATTCCATTTCTGCCCTTGGACTCTGTGAGGGTCCTTCCAGTAATCCTCTTTTGTGCTCTGTTGGCTTTCCATTCTACCTACAGGTGGTTAAACATTCTAAGCCCCTCAAAATTTTAGAAAGAATTTTACTTTCCCTATCACAGTTGTATCATAGAGAGCGAATGATGTATCATTTCCTCCATGAGAGATAGGGGCAGTGGTAAGTCGTTACTTTTTCAGTTACACCCCCCCCCCCGCCGCACAACTTACTGGCTCTCTGCTAAATCCTGGGCTCTTGAGGAGTTGATCATGTATGGGGACATGGAAAACACAACAAATCGATCAACAAGCTCAGAAAATTGTGAAACGTATAATGAATGGCACGAGCACAGGGTATGACGCGAAGGCTGAAGAGAGGCAGTGGGGTCTGTCTGTGACTGTAACCAGAAGCCTGCCTGGACCTTGTTCCGTGGGGTGACTGGAGGGGACTGTGGAGATGGAGTGTCTCAGACAATGCTTCCATCATAAAATTAAGTAGAAACAATTTTTAAATCACCCATCTACTTTCCCCCAGAATACCCTCTTCATACAAAGCAAGTCAGTGGTCTGGCTTCTCCAGAGGGGCTTCTGAGGACTTCCTCAACACTGCTCCGAAACTTTCCGGATTCACATCATACGCATGATTCCCAGAGCCTTTTTGTCCTCAAGATACTTATTCTCCCTTGAAGAATCATGTTTGCTTGGGCTGATAACCACCACTGTGGAGAGTAAAGGGTAATTAAGTGTCCCGGTGGACCTTAGTCTGGTGATGATGTGAAAATCTCTCTCTCTCGATTTTCTACCTTCCACCTGACTGAACTTGGGGTGCCCTGTGCGCCATGCTGCTCAGAGACGTTGTGCATTCACCATGAGGTTCTTTTCCAGGCGATGTCCTTCGAGGTGAACACCCTGTGTCTACCTTTGCCTTCTTTCAGACGTTTTCTTCAGGAACCGAAAATCACTTTTGATCCTTACTGTCTCGGGCTTACTTGGAACTTGGTTTCTCTGAGGGATGGTTAGACAATCAGTCGTGGAATTTATTGACCTCGGGGGCAGTCTTTCTTATGTAAGACCAGTTCAGATTCTAACATACTTTACCAATTTACAAGTTGAGCCCAGCTGCAGAGAAATGAAATCATTAAAGGTCTAGGAACAAAATTTCTGGGCATCAAGTACAATCAGGAGATCTCAGAACAGGGACACTGAAAAAAAAAAAAAAGGAAAAGAAAGAAACAGATCTGTGCTGCGGACTTGGACTTGATTCTGCTTCTTTTCTCCTGGGGATGCTGGGCCTGGAGGCGAGGGTGAGGAGCAGGTGATGCTTCCTTTCTCCAAATGTTAGGACAACATTTCCCATAGGCAGGGGACTGGATTTGTTAATGTCTTTTGGCAGGAGAGGCAGGCCGGACGTGGTATGATTGCTGGGATGTTGTTCTAATGGCAATTTGGGATGGCGAGGAACAGGAGTAGCCTATTAAAATGAGCTCAAGCGAAATGGGTTTTATTGCAAGGACACAGGCTGTTCTCAAGGAACCCAAAGTTAGATGAACGTGTTGCTGGTCTCCTCGTGGGTAGGAATCAGGACTGGAGATGCACTGTTCGCCCCCCCAACCCCGTGTCTCACAAGTGCGCAATCTCCCCAACTGGCTTCTGTCTCTAAGTGTGGTCAGCTCTTCTGTTTCTTCCAGCATGTTCCACTGTGTCAGCCTGCATGTGGCCCTCCCGTGGTTAGTTCAGGAGACTACAGACCTCTCCTCTGCAGGACCCAGTGCTGACTAGAAGGCCTCTCAGTGTCTCATTCAGATCCCAAAGAGAGAAAATCCGGCATCCCCAGCTCAGCAGCTCCGTCAAGCTCATGGGCTCCTGGTATCAAATGGCTTGACAGCCCCAGAGCCCACAGGCTACCCCTGTTCAGTCAGCTGTGGTGGAGGACCCTATGGTTCACAACGTCAGATCACCTCTCTCAGTAAGAGTCAACAGAAATGCAGTGTTCCTCCTCATCACAACATCCTGACTAGGGGAACATCTTTCATAGAAAACCAAGATTTTCATCTCTGGTTATCTAGGTGGCTTAGAATTTTAATTTTTCTCAGAGAGATTCCTTTATACCCACTTATACTATTAGGTAAATGAAGGATAATTACATTCTCTCTGGAAGCACCCAGTCCGTAATCGAGTAGTGAGTCCGCAAGATGATCAGTCTGCCAGATTTGGGGGCTGTGAAATAAATTTCTTTTGGTGAGGAAGAGAGGAGGAACAGCAAAGGGTTTCTTTAAATCTGAGTTCTTGCAGGAAGGAAGATGCCCAGAGGAGAAAAAGATGCAGAGAATATATCGGGGTCGGTGGGGAAGATAGCGTGTCGGGTATTTAACAATTCTGTCACCGACAGAGCTTTTCTTCTCAAACCCTTTCCAGCCGGAAGTTGAACAAACCAGGTCTCAGTCACCAAGCAGCTGTCCTGGAAAAGGAAGGCAGGGTGCTTACCCCTACAGGAGAGAAAGAGACACCAGATTAGATCCAGCCTCTGCTCTCAAAGACAGCCTCAAATGAGAGGAAATTGCAGCTGCTCTCCAGGCTGACTGTGGTAAGAGCCTGATGAGAGTTTACTCAGGGTAGGAAGGGTTGATGTGAAAAGCCGTGCTGGGCTTAGGGGCGGACCTCTGTGCTTGGGGAACTGGTGCCCATCTTCGAAAGACCTTTTTGGTTGTAGCTTGGATTGGTGAGAGTCAACATTATGACAAAGGGCACTTGCCAATCAGAACGGATACTGGTCCCAATGGAGGAGCATCGGGGGGTCCCTTGGGCTGCAGGCATGGACTCTTCAGCTGCAAAAGGGGAACATGGCCCAGGGAAATACCAACCAGTAGAAATCGTTCTGGTTTTAACAATTGGAGGTGAGGTGTAATGTGGTGTTTATGGCTCAACACCTTCTGAGGGACCTTCTGAGGGAGGAGACTGGAGATACAGGCCTGGCTCCTGCTGGGGAGGGGCTCGAATCCACGTCAATGCAGATGCCCATCACTCAGGAAGGAACAGGGGAGCCCTCTGTCTGGGGGACATTGTTCAACCAACTCCCTTCGATTAATAATTAGGAATGGCATGTGGGGGTGCTCTATTGATTGAATGTGCGGTGCCTGTCCTTTGTCAGCCGGAGTCTGAAAGGCATTTGGGAAGAGAGTGACAGGCCCCCGAAGCATGATAGTACTGGAGGGCTGACAGGACTTCTCATAGTGGAGTCCGGCCTTCACAGATAGGGTCAGTGACTTGGCCAAGTTCACGCAGCCAGAGACAAGCCCTTCCGGCCCAGGGATGGCTGCGGAAGGAGAAGAGAAATCTTGTCAATCAGAGGCCAAGATGGCAGTGGGGTGGCCCAGAAGGGAGGGTGGCCCGTCAAGAAGGTGCTGTATTCTCAGCAGTGGAGTTGGTTTTTGTGGGGGGCGGGAGTACGGTTTTAGAGGACTTATTCCTGACGGGTTCACTGGCTCTCACTCTTCCTCTGGCCTGGCTTGGGGTGGCTTCGCGCTGTGGGTGGGAAGGCGCACGCCCCTGCAGCTTCCAAGGCTTGTCTTCCTCGAGCGGAAGGCATCAGGCACCTCCTCCCGGCGGCCCCGCCGGCTTTGGTCCGCCCCGAGGCTCCCCAGAGCTCGCCAGGCGCCAGAGCTCCTTGGGGCCGGCTCCGGGCCAGCCGCGGTCGGGACTCCGGCGGGTCCCCAGGTCCTGGGCCGTGCGCCGCCGCCCGCCCGGCTTCACCGCTCCGCCGCGGAGCCCCGCGCTGGGGAGGGGCGAGGAGAGCCGCAGCCCCCTCTGCCCGCCCAGACCGAGGAGGGGCGAGCAGGCGGGCACGGAGCTGGGCGAGCGCGGGGCTGTGCGCGCGTCTCTCCGGGCACACACTCTCCGCGCCGCGCGCTCCCCGGGCAGGGTGGCCTCGGACCTCCGCAGACAGCAGCGGTGTGCGCCGCGCTGGCTCCGGAGCGCGTTCACCGCCTGGCGGGAGCCTCTCGCTGGGGTCACTCGACTGCTGCTCCCCCTCTCCCGGGAGCCAGCGGGGTGAGCTGGAGGCCGACCCGGCCGGACGCCGCGCTCCTATAAATAGCACGCGTGTGCTCGCCTGGCGCTCTCCCGGCTGCGCGAGGACAAAGTTGTGCGCAGGGACTCGGGGCGCGCGGCAGCGGCTGGAGAGGACCCCGCCGCCGAGCCGCCTTGCGCCCTGGAATCGATCCCGCGACTCGGTGCTCTCCGTGCCCAGGACCCGGCCGGCTGCTGCCTACCTGCCGACGACCGGGAGGCGCCGAGGTGTGGGGCATTTTTGACGAGGCCAAAGTGGGAGTCGCTAGAGTCCTGGCCATGAACACAGCCTCGCGTTCTTCTCAGCCCGGGAAACACCTTCTGCTTCTGTAATCCGTCCCTGTCGCAAGCCGGACGCTCACCGGACCGACATCCGCACCGCTCGGCACCCACCTACCCCCGAGGCTTTTCTTTGCGTCTCCTTTGTTTTTCCTGCTCCGTCGTCCACCTGGGGGTGCTTGGGTTTGGGGTGAGAATTTACTGCCGTTTTCCTCTTTGAGGTGTGAATGGGAGGGTTTGCGGACTTTTAGATGTCCAAGAACAAGGGTGGGTGCAGGAGCCCCGGGCAGGGCTGATTCTTGGGCGGAGGAGGGTGGGGTAGGGGGTTCTGCATGAGCTCCTTAAAGGACAAAGGTAACAGAACCAGCGAGAGAGCGCGAGCGGAGACTTTGACTTCAAACCACGGAATTGGGGGAAGTGTGCGCGCCGCCGCCGCCGCCGCCGTTCCCGCAGCGCTGTCGATCTAGCCACTGGCAGCTTCCCGAGCGCCGGGGTCCCGGGCTTGGAGGCGAAGCGCGCGAGCAGGAGCGCAGCCGGCTGCGGCTGCCCACGCGGCTCACCATGGGCTCCCGGAGCCGGGCGCTGTCCGTGGTACCGGCCGTGCTGCTGGCCCTCACCCTGCCGGGGCTGCCCGTCTGGGCGCAGAACGACACGGAGCCCATTGTGCTGGAGGGCAAGTGTCTGGTGGTGTGCGACTCGAACCCGGCTACGGACTCCAAGGGCTCCTCTTCCTCCCCTCTGGGGATCTCGGTCCGGGCGGCCAACTCCAAGGTCGCCTTCTCAGCGGTGCGGAGCACCAACCACGAACCGTCCGAGATGAGCAACAAGACGCGCATCATTTACTTCGATCAGGTCAGACCCTGAGGGATGCAGGGCACCCAGTGTGTGTATGGATGGTGGTGGGGGGGTGGGGGGGGTCGATCTCCCTGCAGCCCCGACCCAGGCTGCCTGCTCAGGCTAAGTTGGTCTGGCTGGGACATGGGGGATCATTTTGGCACTCGCCTTCCCAAAGATGTCTGGGTCTGAAACTTCTGTCTCTCCCACCACCGCCCCTGCCCGCATTCTTTCCCTCCTGGCCTCCGGAGAGAGATGAGGGGGAGAGGCTGGGAGCGCAGAACCCAGCTACAAGAGGTCCGAACGAGTTTCACAGCAACAGGTCCATTGGAGCTGGCAGGAGTCTGGTCCCTGGATCTCGCAATCTCTTGGCAAGTGCTTGGCCCCCGGGGCTCAGACCCCTCTGCAGGGGCCGCCCAGGCGGTTCCGTGCGGTCCCCTCGGGATCTTGCAATACACGGTTTGTTTACCCCAGGTGGAGAAACTTCTCCCCAAAGAGAGCTTCGGGGGCCCACATTCTCTGCAGAGGTCTAGCAGGTGGCCGCAGACAGTGGGCAGCGATGGTGTGGGTTGGGTCGCGCCCACCTTTCTGCTGCCAGGATCCCCACACACGTTGCGGGCGCCACTGCAGCGGAAAGCCTTTCTGTGGTACTTGGAGAAAAGTTGTGGAGGGAAATGAAGGGCAGCTGCGGGGAGCTCCTTTTGGGAAGCGCAGGGGGAGCCTCGGTGTTTCCAGACCCTGCTCTGGTCCTTTCGGAGAATTGCAAATTACTGGGGAAAGACAGACTTTGGGGTTGAGGGTAGGGGGTGGGAGGGAACTAATGAAGTCTATGGCTTCTTTTGAGCGACCGGGAGCTCTGGGGTTTGGCTGGTGAGAAACCCCAGGGCTATCAGCTTAGCTTCAGCAGGGAGTCTTAAAACTGGAAACTGACTCTGGGGTTGTAATTTCAACCCTAACAGCACCCAGAGTATTTTAAATTACAAAGTCATTTGTGTAGTTCACAGTTGTATGCAAAGCCACATGGGTAGGAACACAGGTTAAGTGGTACTGCAGTGTGTGCCAGGGAAGGGAAGAGATGACATTTCCATTCCTTAATTGTTCCTAAGTAATGCACTCTCCAGCTGGCCAGGCAGAGAATGCTTCTCTGGGGCTTACTATCAGATAGCCATAATTTTTAAGGAATGAAGCAGCCCCTTTGGGGTTTTGGTGCAGTGCTTTCCATCCTGATGGAAATAAAGTCGAGCACCACCCCTCGTTTATATTTCAGTGCATTAATTAAATGTTGGACCGTTGTGGACATGGCACTGTACAATGCCTTCTTTTCCATGACCTTTCTGTCAATTAGAAGATGAGAGGATTTGTTCTTCTGTTTGGGAAGACATGCATCTCAGAGACCACAAGACACATTTAGTTATGTCTCTATGTGCCTGGTTGCTCTAATTACAATATAAAGGCAACATCCAGCCTTATGTGTAGTCAACAGACTACACATAATACTAATCAGACGTTTCCATTATTGCTAATGAATTATGCTCCTCGTATCCGAGTCAGAAAGTCCCTGCTAAGTACCTCAAATTATTTTAAATGTGCTTGAAAAAATCTTTGTAACACCTCTGCTGGGGATTATTGCAAAGCTGGTGATTGGTTGTTGAAAGATCATTAATCATCAGGTCAGAGAAAGAAATCTGAGGATTGTTTGGAAGAAGGTGAAATCTCAGAATGAAATCATACACATACATGTACTTAAGTCGAAGGTTGAACCTGGTACATCAACTTGACCCACTATGATATTCTGGTGCATTGCTCAGAGGTGATAGTATGCTTTTAGGGAATTATGCAAAAGGCCTAATATTGGTGCAAATGTAGAGTTTACAAGAGATGGTGCAGATTGCCATTGATACAGTGGAAATGTATCCTTACAGGGACATCTGATTTTTTTGAATGCCAGTTATAGATTTATTTCTTGGAGAGAAATGGAATAAACCCCAGTTACTTTACAAACTTCCCACCCCCAAACATTCTCATTCTCCTTCTCGTAGAAGGGACTGACTTAGGTGACATTTGCAAATTTGGTTTAAGAGGTCACATATTGAAATTCAGAGTTAATTTCATAAGCAGTAGAAACAGGCTGCACATCTTGGAATACAAAATGCATTGCTGCTTTCTTAGGAAATAGTGCCTTATTTTACTTTTCATTTTTGACCCTTGAGTTTAAATAAAGAGCAGGTGATTGATAAGAGAATAATGGATAATACTGGCAGGAACACAAGAAAGCCACCAGTTTCACAGTCTGTCCTTATTCATGCTCTACTTTTTGGCAGCCTGCAAAGGCTGAGTCATTGCCAAAATATTATAATTAAGGCCTAGATGGCACAGGACTGAAAAAATGGCCATGGATCTTAGGGGAGGTTTGGCGGAGGCTCAGGGAAGGGCCGGGCATTCACATCAGTCTGTGCAGTGTTCAGTGTCATGGATTATGTCACAGGGTGGAGGGGGTGCCTAGGCCTCTGTGTGATGTGTCCAGGAATGACTGCAGAGAGCCCACGGATGCCGATTGGCTGTCTTGGAAACGTCATCTCTGGACATTGCAAAGGCTTATAGAGGATGGAAATATAAATACAGGGCAGATGCCTTTTATCTGGCTCTCAAGGTAAAGCTAATATTTATAAGCCCTCCGTGTTACCTAGATGTTTCCAGAGCCATCAGGCCTTGCTGGAAATTGAGGCATGAATACAAAGCAGTTATTTTATTTTACTTTTTTCCCCCTATACCATTTAAAAGACAGAAAAACCTTCCATTACACAAATCTATTTTCTAAGTCACTAAAGAGGAAAAGAGTAGAACTCAATGTTTTATTCTCTATGGTTTCTTAAGCTACTTATGAAAGAAATAAAACCAGAAGGAGAGATAGAGATAGAGAGAGAGAAAGAGAGAGAGAGAGAGAAAGAGTGGTGGGGGAGAAGCAAGCAAGGAAGGAAACTTACTTACAGAAGAGACTATTGTAATAATTTACTGTTCCTTATTATTTTTATTTGTAGATCCTAGTAAACGTGGGCAATTTTTTCACCCTGGAGTCTGTCTTTGTAGCACCAAGAAAAGGAATTTACAGTTTCAGCTTTCATGTAATTAAAGTCTACCAGAGCCAAACAATCCAGGTACGTGTTGTGATCCTGCTCCTTCTTTACCCCCGAACGGCAGTGTTTAATAGGCAGTGGGTTATGTATGTAAGTGTTTAGCCAGAGATGTGTTTTCATTATAAAAATAAACAACCATCTTTATAGTTTATTTTTAAAGCACTTAATTTCCAATTTTCTTCTTTATTTCATCCGTTAAAGCCATGACAAGAAACATAGAGAAAAATAAACGGTTGAATGTATTACCTTCATAACAACCCACCATTTAAAAAACACGTCTTAGTAAAAACTCAGTAGCACCAATCTCTTTATAAGATCTTGATTTCATTTAATGCAAAAATTATTTAAACTTGTAAGGAAGAATCTTCTAAGACTAGCGGAACTTTACAAGTACATATTAAATAAAACAAATTTGCTATCATTGTTAAAAATTACGAGCTACCCTAGCCATCAGAACAAATTTATGAAGGAATAACTACTCAACATACTTTTTACAAAAGGGTGTTCCCCTGCATATGCTTTAAATAATTTATGCTCAGTTACTCTGATCCTAGTGAATTCTAAAAATTTCAGTTCCACAGTTAGCAACATATTTTGTGTTGTCCTTTCTCAGGTAATAGGCTTGACCTTACACTCAAAGACTAGTTCCTATACTATTCAAATATGCTAGAATGGAATTCTAGCCTTCTTTTTTATCTTATTCTCAGTGTGTGTGTTATAGACTGTGGCCATAGTGAAGGGGGATTACCCTTCTACCAACTTTCACAGATCCTAGCGAATGGGTAATATATCATCCTCAGATTTAATTTAGGCAGTACTTTTTTTTGACATAAAAAGAATGAATATCTAGTAAACAAATTTACTAGCATGGAAAAGCTATTCCCAAGCTCCGATATTTAGAAAGTTATGTAATATTTAACACAGTAAAATCAAAATTGTAGTGGGGAGAAAATTTTGAGTTTATGATTTGTTAATAATTTTGAATTTATTAATTGTGGTTTCTTTGCTAATTATCCATCTTTAAAATCTTCACTAGCAGTGGTGATTATTATTTTTTAATACACATTTAATGTACATTTATTATTTTTAATACACATTATCAAGGAGGACAGAAAAAGAAAACACAACACCCCCCACAACACACATAAACACATTCCATAGTTTCAGATGGTTTTCACTATGACTGGCAGCCAACCAGTAACCTGAAAAAGATGTTGGTAGAATCATGCTGTATCTGGGTTTATCAGAGCAGAGGGCCCTGGGCTTCTTTTTACTAATATACTGGGAAGCCTCAGACTTGCTTTTTTTTTTTTTTTTTAAGATTTTATTTATTTATTTGACTGACAGAGATCACAACTAGGCAGAGAGAGAGAGAAAGGAGGAAGCAGGCTCCCTGCTGAGCAGAGAGTCCGATGCGGGGCTGGATCCCAGGACCCTGGGATCATGACCTGAGCCAAAAGTAGAGGCTTTAACCCACTGAGCCACCCAGGCGCCCCTCAGACTTGCTTTATTACCAAAACATTGCTATTGAATGTGAGAAGTAAATAAAACAGCGAGCTTAATGTATGAGTTGAAAGGAGGCCAGTTTTCCCAAGGCGAGGTTGCTCTTCATGGACAGTATTCTTTTGTAGGCATTTCAGGAAATTTCTATGGGGGAAATTAAAAAAAAAAAAAATCAGCCCAGTGGACCTTCTAAGTGTAGCCACTGCTATTGGGATGAATTTGCTGAACATGAAATATTTTACCAGACATTATTCATTAGCCCTGGTAGATGTTTTCAGTGATTTTTTTTTTTTTTTCCTCATAGGTTAACCTGATGTTAAATGGAAAGCCAGTAATATCTGCCTTCGCGGGGGACAAAGATGTTACTCGCGAAGCTGCCACTAACGGCGTGCTACTCTACCTGGATAAGGAGGATAAAGTTTACCTAAAACTGGAGAAAGGTAACTTGGTTGGAGGCTGGCAGTATTCCACGTTCTCTGGCTTTCTGGTGTTTCCCTTATAGGATTTGATTTCTCCGTGACATTCCGACCCCTGAGTTGTTGGAAGATCATTCTCTCATCATCCGATTGATGTCTTTGATCGGTTTCTCATGGGTGAATATGGATTCTCTTTAAGGATTTTAGGCCTGTCCGAACCAATACACAGTCTCACCGATTATTTTGTGTGTGCGCGTCTCGGTATACTTGGATGGGGACTCACAGCAGACATCGTATGTACCAGTGCTCAAGTGTAACAGTTAAAAACTGTCTGCAAGGTTTATTCTGAATTTAATTTCCCGGGATCACTGAATCCGTTGCAGATGTGGAATTTTATTTATTTCTTTTTAGAAGATTGGCAACTGGGTCTAAGAATTAGAAAACTCAAGTCCTGACTTCAATCAACGGTTAGTGCGATCCTGCCAAAGAACTCTGTGCTGTGTTGGTATATCGATTATACTCGTTTTTATTCCTTTGGAATTAGTTTGTTCTGTTCTCTTACAGTAAGTGGAGAGGTTTTCTGTTTTTTTTTTTTCAGTGACTGGCTTTGTGTCTTCTCTACAAATAGGGTAATGGATGGCTCGCTCACAGTTACCCTCTGAGATCACCAACATGACTTCCCTTTACAAAAAAGAACGCTTCATAGTTGTATTTTAATTATATATGTGAAAGAGTCATATTTTCCAAATTATATTTTCTAATAGGAAGAATAGATCGTAAGTCTGACAAGGAAAAAGATGCTTACCTGAGTTCTAAGTGCTCAGTCTCCAAGCCACCACCCCCCCCAAACGCCCTCCTCTTTGGGAAATCTTATACTTTCTTGCTCAGCTTGAATTAACATGATGGATAATAACCATATTATTAAAAACCTAAGGGATTTTTTCCCCTTGGACGTGACCACTTTATTAAATGGAGAGGGGACGCCCTTGTTTTTAATTATGCCTATTTTTCAAGCCTTCTGTTGTGTTTGAAAGTATCATCTGGTTTTGCCTTAATTCCTTCAATTGTATATATTTATCTGTTTAGCTAATATTGAATCCAAATATCCCATATCTAAACTTAGTGCAATATCTTATTTTGTCTTTTGTACAGGTCATATGAATTCATAAAATTATTTATGTCTCTGTCATAGAATAAAAGTTCATATGTGTTACCTGAATTGTTTTGTCCTTTCGGTTCGGGGAAATATGTATTCTCCGTGGTTTATGTCCATACCTTCTTTCCTTCCCCTTTCTTGTTTCCGTTTCCTGGAGTTTATCAAAAGCTTTCTGAATCGGGGGCGGCGGAGGCGGGGGTTGGCGTCCGGGAACCTTCTCTGAATTGGCCTAGGAAGCCTTCCCTGTGTTTAATCTGTTCAAATCCAGGAGTCGTCAGCCTGCCAAAAGAGAATCGATGCACTTCGTAGACTTTTCTTTCAGAAGGGACTTCCTCCAAGGTAGTTAAGTTAAGAGAATTGGTTAAAATCTCCGGAGGGTGCTCAGTGCGTGGCCATGGGTATAAAGACCACTGTTTTCAGTATGAAGTCTTCGGGGGGAAGTTCCACCCCCTTCACAATGCTAAAAGACAAATAGAAGGTCACAGGTTTCGTTTGAGGAGGAACTGTTTCTGTCGACGTGTCATCTGGAGCTTTGGCTCAGTTTCCCGGTCTGTTGTCAACTAAAGCAATTTGGGAGAGCCCCTCCTGTAGATGGTGGCAGCAAGGAAGGTGTTAGAGGACTCCGTAAGAGGGGACCTGTAGGCAGGGCTAGCGTAATTGCGATTAATCACCAAGTCAAAATATTCCTTCATCACAGAGCACTCTCCTTCCACCCCAAGAAGAATTATCTGGAGATGTTGGCATTGGATCTTCAGTGTTTTGCTTGGCAAGTTATTCTTTCTCCAGCTGGCTTTCAGTCAGAAACTTTCCTCCTTGGTGATTGCATAATGTGAGAAAACAATATTGCATAGGGGACTTTCGTCTAAATAAGAATGGCATCCTCTGCAAATAGATGTGCTCTAACATAACCTTCCCCCGGCTCTCTGTCTGTATTCAGGGTTTGCGTGTCTACTTTGCAGCAGACTGGATTATACTTGGATAAAGACACTACTAGTCATTTTTTGGGCAAAATGACTCAGGGATATTGGAATTTAATAGACACCTATGATGGAACAGAGAAGATGTGGGGCTTAACACCATAGACCAATTTAGAAGTGCCTTATATAAACATGCTTTGGCCATCCTTTGGGGCTTGCCCTTATTTTTCTTGATTTTTTTCTGAACATAAAAGAACGTTGGCAAAGGGCTTTACTGTAATTCCTAAGCTTCTGCGTATATATTTTGGAATGCAAATCCATTCAAAACCTCCCTGAAAAATTCGATATGAAAAGGCACTGAAGCTGTAGCTATCAGATGTGGGAGGGGCCTCGCAGCAGGGAGGAACCCCAGTGGAGAGACGAGACATCTCCTCATTGAGGTGCGATGAATGGGTTCTTCTTCCGGGCTGGGTCTAGGAAGTAAGAGCGACGCAGACCCAATGGCTGGAAAGGTAAGTTTGAAGGGAGGGAACAAAAGGGACAGAATGATGTAGTCCGGGGAGTCTGGATTTGGGACAGACATAGGATGGAATGCTGGAACCTTGCCTTACAAGCTCTGTGACCCTGGGCAGGTTCCCTCACCTCTCTGAGCTTTAGTTATTTCCTTTGTAAACAAGAAATTATTGTGAGAATTTAACAAGACACGTGAAGTGCCTCGGACTCTGTAAGGAAGGTCAGTGAAGGGTTGGCTGTTCTTCCTAACGTCCGAAGCCCTAGTGCAGTAAAGAAGCAAGAGGGGCAGAGCAGGATGTTAAGATTGGCATGACAAAGGGTCAAGAATGGATTGGGAGGAGAACTGGGGAACAGGTGGAGGCAGGGGTGTCAGGAGTCCTTCCAGAAATGGAGCCATGTGCTCCCTGTGTATTCTTTGACTTGAAAATAGTTTCCAGAAATTGCTCGGCCCACAAAAATGCTAACTGAACAGAGTATTTGCATCGGCCCTGTCCACATTCATCACTGCCAATGCTGTCTCTTCCGAGGTATTCTCCATCTCCTTTGTTCCTTGATCTATTGATCAACAAATACAAGCAACTGTCTGTGGCAAGCAGAATCCCAAGAAAAACACAATTGAAGGAAAGAAAGAGCTTGTGCATAGGATCTCACCGATTGCCCCTGCTTTTGGGGTGCTCCCCGTGACCTCAGATTCTGTTAGATGTGATTATCTAATTAAATTTTTGTTTTAATTCTTCTTTTTTGAATTAAGTCTGTTTTCCCCTTTCTTTTTGGTTTCTGGAGACCAGTAGCCACGTGTCTTCTTTTGGCCTCTACCTTTTCGCAAACTACTGTTTTAAATCTCGAAATAAGTTTCTTCAGCCAGCATGGATGAAATTATCCTTCTAATGTGCCACATGCTTTGTTAAGGTGCTGAGTTCATACACGTGGTGACATCTGCCCTTTTCAGACCTCCCCAAACATCAGACACAGGGTCTCTGCAGGGAGCAGCAGAGGTTTCAACGTGTGGTTCTATCTCACCTCCTGACTGATCGTACTAGGCCTACCAGTCCCCCTTTATTGTTGAATCCACCTGTCCCCAGGACAATGGTAACTCACTGGTTGTAGCACGGTCCCCAGGTTGGTTGACTTACTGCCCATAGAGAAGTGATGAGCAGAGGAACGTGACAGCTTATGATAGCCGATCACTTTCAGAGCGTGGAGCTACAGTAGAATTCTTGTGCTAAGTGGTTCCCTTGGGTAGGGAGAGGGTGGGATTTAAGAGGTTGGTTTTTATAGGTTACTCTCTCCCCTCTACTGCAGGCCTATCTTTAATATGGGTTTCAATGGCTTTAGAATAAAAAAGATGCATTTTTTTTTGCCCCCATGTCCCGGCCCAAGCTGACCTTTCTATGGGAAACAGCTCCTTTGTGAATTTGATCCTGAAGTTGCCTTATGTCTGCTTCTCAGATGAATGTGCTTAAGAACCATCTGGGAATTGGGATAAAAAAATGCAGGTTTCAATGTAGTAGGTCTGGGGTGGGCCCTGAAACTGCCTTTTGACAAAGCTCCCAGGTGATGCTGCGGGTCCTGCCCCAGGTACCACACGCAGAACGGCGGGACTCTCTGTGGTTGTTTGTTAAAGGCTCATTAGTCACTGTGTGGTCTTTGTGTCTGCGTCACCTGGGGCTTGTTAGGAACCCCAGGCGGGGTCTAGACTCACCCAGACCTACTGAGCCAGAATGCACCTTTTTCAAAAGGTCTTCTTGCCCACCCCATAGTTTTAGGCCCGGGAGTGTTAATGAAGTCTTGTCTTTAAGTAAAACCCGAGCCCTCCAGCTTCAGTCTCTCGTGAGCTGGGCTTCGGGCAGCTGTGGTTTTGCCAAGTCCCCAGGTGATTCTCTGAACCTCAGTCCATCCAGGTGCAGGCATTTCTTCGTGGTGCCCAGAACTACAAATGCTCCTGTGAGCCTCCTTGTTTGTAACGCAGCGGCTGAAGGCTGTGTGCCCGCAGCTCTCGTGCGGGTCAACACCGGGCTCTTCCCTTGTGATGGGAAGGGGCTTTGGGCACGGCGGCCGGCCTGTGCGGAGGAAGGACTCGAGGAAGACCTTCCCTGGAGCAAAGATGTGGAAGACGCTTGCGTGGAAATGAAGGTAAGTCACCCACAGACAGTGGCTTTCTGGAGAAGAGAGAAAACCCTTATCGACTTTCCTCCCGTATTCAGCATTTGTTCTGAAATAAAGATGTAGTTACCTCGTGTTTTTTTCTTTGTAATTGAAGGGCTCCTTCTCCAGGGATGGCTGTGCCTTTAAGCACACGTGGTGTTTGACTTCGGAAGACGCTGCTCCAACAAGGGTGTGTGTGTGTGTGTGTGTGTGTGTGTGTGTGTGTGAGAGAGAGAGAGAGAGAGAGAGAGAGCGAGCGCGAGCACGCGAGTGCTCAGAAGGATGAACAACACGTTTCCAGCAGGTCCTTCAGTGCATTTAAAATTCATCCAAGGGCAGAAGTCTTTCCTAACAATTCTTGGGACCCATTGGTGATATTTACAATGAGAAACACATTGTACTGAGCTAAGGAAGTCTTAGTCTTTATTTCCCCCTGGGTTACCTTGAGAGCATAAATTGTGACCCTCTGACTTTCCTGGAGACCCTGAAGGGCTTCGGTCTGGCTGTTCTCGGGAAGCTGAGGGGCTCACGGAGAGCTGCTCCGTGCTCGCGGTTTAGGCGTGGAGAGAGGCTGATGTTTGTTATTATTTATTTATTTATGTTGTCGGTCATGTTTCAGCTTCACTGCCGAGACCCGTCAATAAGAGGGAGAGAATGTAGGGACATTAATGCAGATCAGCTGGCTGTTTTCACATTACCTCTTTTTTTCCCCTTGGGATAGGACGACAGGGCTTAAAAGGACCTTTCTGCCCAGTGGTTTTCTTTCAGAGGGTTCCAGAGAGAAGGGGCATGGACAAGCAGGGGCAGGCCCTGGGCCCGTTTCAGGGTGGGGATATGGCGCTCTGTGCATTCCGTGTGG